TGATTGTTTCTGACAGCTTTCCTTGCTTAGCTAAACCTTGTGCAGGACAAGGCAATGTGTCAAAGAGGTGGCAACAGACCTTGAATGCAGGTCTGTTGTAGTATCTGGACACCAGAAAAATTCCAAGCCTTAAACCAGTTTCATTGGAAAACTGCTCAGAACTTTTTAAGATTTTTTACATTTTTTTATAGATTTACTAGGTCTTAATGTGATTTATTATCCAGACCACTTAACTGGGCCTTAGTAAATACTGAACTGTGCGCTCCCATGCTTACTTTCACTATTCCAGCATCCCTTTTCCTGGTGGCTGCCAAGGGGACACGATGCTCAGACACCTCAGGGTGTCCAGCCAGCTCAAAGGGACATTAGTTACCAAACCTGAGGTTTTAGTTGAGCCACTGACCTTTGTTACTGTGCACTGAAACGTAAGAACTGCAATAAGTTACAGTACTAGTGTTTCCTTTAGACTAAATCTAGAGACTAATGACAGTGGAAGCTTACCTGAGTTCTTTTGACATGGGGGTGGGGATGGGGAAATGTCCCTAATCAGTGTTGCCTCTGGTTTGGGGGGTTTGGGGTTTTTTATTGATTGTATGACTTGCATCTTCTCTTGACTATTGACCACTGGGTGGGCGCAGATCTCCAAAAGCACAGTACTTCAAGGAATTCATCAACAGAACAGTCTCCTACAGCTCACTTTTCCAAAAGGATTTAAGAGCTAGGACTGGCTCTTGTCACAATTGTCAGCATTTATTTTTTTTAGCATAGGATTTGAGCTGTTTCAGATACTGAACTAAAGCTACTGAACGTGTGCTCTGTCCCAGTGCGGAGCGTGGCTGAGATAACTGAGCAGCACACACAAATTTGACTGTGCAAGCTTGCATCTTATCTTCCTTTTCCCTCCTCCAGTTACTTCAGTTATCAAAATGATTCTAGTCTCATGTTTAGTCTGTGAAGTGTCAGTATAAAGTTATGGCCTTAATCATGTAAAAATATTTGTTTTGAGCAGACCTCAAGCTTATTGACCAAGTACAAAACAGTATAAAGAGCTACGGAGCAGTTTCTTGAAGGTGGTTATAGCAAAGGTTCTGAATGCCTAATTTTTCATGTCTTAAGTGCTTAATTGTCACTTGATGTGAGATCTAGATATGCCTAGCAAGATGATGTAGTAAAGCACTGTGACCCAAAGACACAGAAGTATTTTAAATACCACAGTAGTAGCAGGAGGAGCAACCTTCAGAGGGGAAAAAAATTACTTTCTCTACTGAGACAATAATTCTATTCAGAATTTTAGCTAAATGACAAAATCTGGCTGTTTTTTCTATACATTCTTTGTTATCATTGTGGAAAAGATGGAAAATGTAAAACTGGCAGTTTTCCTCTCTGTAAGGTAAAAATTGGAATTCTTGCAGTAGTTATGCGTAGGACAAGTCCCTTTGTCTGACATGCTTGTATGTGGGAGCAGAGAGTGTGTGTTTAGTGCTTTGCTGTGTCTTACCACTTGCTGAAATGTATTGGCAGTAGAGGCTGAAATGGACTTTTCATGAAGAGTTGATCGAGTGTGATACTGCAACACCATGTTTGCATTATCCTCCAGTTGTCACTCAGATTTCTGCCTGGCAAATGTACTTCAGGACAACTCGTAGCAAAGGTTTAATTCAGGCTGTGCTTAGAAAATAGGATTCTGTTTAATGAAAATAAGCTATGTAGTGAATGCCAGAGTAAGAGAAAGGGATTATAACTTAGAGAAGGGATAAAAATATTGGTGGAGAGGGAGTTTACCACGAGTGGTCAACCTAAATGCATTAACTGTTCCTAGTATCTGACCTGTGACACATCTGCCTAAACTTAAAACACTGGTGTTGTCTGGTGTGTGGTTTCCAAGTTCTGGCTTCAATATGTTCAGGTCCCCTTGTCTTACTTTAAATAGGTGAATGCTGTCTGTTAATGTTGCTAACTAAAATGTACTATAGCTTTTCTTCAGGGAAAACTCAGAAACTGAGTTGCAAATTAGAGCAATGCAAAGTGATCCCCTCGGGCAGGTGTCTGCTCCTATCCTGCCGAGCCTGGGGAGGGGGGCCTGGGCTCTCCTGCTCTGCTCAGAGCTGAGCATCACAAGGAATCTCTGCCACTGTGCTTGACTAACCCGTGTTTGCAACTTTGCTGTGCTTTTTACAGGAGAAACCAGTAGTGAAAGCTAATAAATTCAGCCACACCAAGTCAGAGTACATCTACAGCATAGGCGTGCAAACTTTTTTAGATGAAGTTTCCAGTTCAATTACTGAAAATGACTACTATGGTTTTACAAAGTAAAACTGCAGTATCTTTAAAAAAGGGACTCTTTTGTAGGTGTTTTCGTCTTGTGTGGGTATCTGTCTCAAACTGAATGTGGGGTTTGTTTGTAAGTAAATTCAGAGTATAGCAAATGTGAGCAAAACCAACAGCTGTATTCTGCTGCCCTCTGTTTGGACCATTTTGTTTAATCAGTGGTGTTACCTGAAACTTTTAAGGGTATCTGATGTAATTACATTATAATGGTTTACAATAAAGTCTGACTTATTACAGATTTGTACACTTATTTTATACTTGTTCTGTTTCAAAGTGCCTCTGTTTCAGTGTCTATGGTGTGCTCTCGTGGGAAGCAAGTTCTGCTACTTGAGTTTAACTTCAGCTCTAATTGTGCACCCAATCAATTATGTTTATTTTAATTTCAGTATATTTATTTACCTTAATGGCAAGTCCCATTTGATCAGGAAGAGGCATTGGTCTAAAGTTGCAAATTTTGTTTACAAGTTTAAGAATCCTTGCAGGCTCCTCTCAGATCCATTTCCTGGGGAAGTTTTTTTTTAGGGCTGGAGCTGAACAGGATGGATCCAATCCTGCCTCTGAAACTCCTCTGTAAGATTTGCCTTTTATTTTCATACTTTCCACCTACCACATCCAAGCAGCCCCATACCCACTGCACCCATAGAGGGAATTCAGAGTATAATCTTCACTCTACCTAAAGTGTCAGTCCCCTGCAAGGTTGTTAGCACTTTCCTGGAGAAATCAAATCTTCCCTGAGATTTGGAGGCCACAGTGGCAGCCGTGTGTACGTTCACTTAATTCTCTATAGTCATTGCCATATTTTAGTTGGAACCATTCCTCCAGCAAAGGGGTTTTCCACAATTCCTGTTGCAGTGGAAGATTAAAACTTGTATTTTTAATAGCCACTGTTGGATAAATGAGCCATCTTGTTCCATTGCCATTCATGTCCCATTTAACAGATCTCAACCCAGGTATTTCTACTCTAAAATTTAATTAACTGTTGATTTAGGCTGGTTTCTTTGTGAGGAAAAATAGCCGATAATCTGTGCAAGAAAATGGTTGTGCTCCTTGTTGAGTGCTTGTTTGGGAAATGGAACTGAAGAGAACAGAACTCTCCAGGCTTTGGGGATGTTCTGGAAACCCCAGGATGTGCTGCCTGCCTCTCTAAGCACTTCACCTGCCCCAAATGGCAAGCGAGGTATGAGTGGTTTGATTTTGTTTGTATAGATAAAACTGCTATGAAAGCACAACTCTGTTGCTTTTGAGTGAGGAATATGCAGTACCAATTAACTGAAGCAATTTTGAAAGCTGAAGGGAAAATAATAGTTCAGTGTCTTGAATTCTAAATATTTGCTTTAGACACGCAGAATGTTATTTTCCTGTCATAATAGATAGTCAGAATAGTGATGCTTGGGGGACTGTAGAAGAACATCTTGGTAGAGGACTGTTGCTTTGTACAATAGAAAAAAAAATCTGTTTTTTCTAAGGTCAGTGTTTTATTCTTCTGTTTTGTTGGCCTACTAAGGGCACCGCTGCTCTGCAGAAATGCTTCTTCTGGTTACTAAGATATGGGTTTAAAATAGAAAATCAACCTAAGGAATAGCTAAGGACGTAACATCCAAGCTGTGTTTTAGCCTACAAATAATTCCCCCAATAAAGGAGAAGATCTCAGGCCTGGAAAGAGTTCAGCTTAAAGGCAGTTTGGGCATTGGGAGGCCTGGGGAGTAGTTCATAGCTGACAGATCTCACTGTCCTGCTCGTACAGTGCTGGAGCTGTGGTTTGATGTCATGTTTTCATAGTGAAAAACAATTTTTTTTGTGACCTCTTGTACCCTAAAAGCACCTGAGAAAAAACTAGGGCAGATTTCTACCGATACAACAGTTGATCTCTCTAGTGGAAGGTGTTTGGAGGTCTGCCATGCCTGCCCTTCTGCCATTAACCCATCTGGCTGGAGTCTGGGTTCTTTTGTAGGTGTTGAGTGCAGTCACAGAAGCTGGGGTTTTTTTTCATGATGTAAAGATTTCATATAAAAAAAAGGGAAACAATCTCGCACTCAAACCTCTCCCAGTAATGAAGAATAGAATTCATGCTCAGAGATGGCAGGACTCTACTTGATTAAAAAATTGTTTAGAGAACAAATATTAAAAGTTCTGGGAAAGGTTTTACTACTGTTAGAAAGTACAGTGGGGAACACCAAGTTTACCCATGTCTGAGTAAGCTGTTCCTGTACAGATGCGGGTGAAAAGGTTAAACTTGCTGATAGTGCTGAAAGTAGAAAGTGATTTTACTCTCTGAGTTGTGTAAGAGCCTGCACTGGAGCATGATCAGAGATGAGCTGTAAGGGTAAAACCATACCCTACTTTATTAGCTCTCTGAAAGACACAAAACACTCTCCTGTTAAAGATCCCTGTGCTAAAGTGATTCAGGGCACAGTTATGCTTTGGACTTCAGGTTTGTATCATCTTTAGAGAACACATATTTTGTTATGCTGGGAAAGCAATGCCCACTCTTTTTTCCCCCTCCCTCCCCCAGGAGGGCTCAGAGTCAATTTTGTGTCCATAACAACATTTTGCCTTTTAAAGCTATAAATAGAGCCCCAGTGGGCTCCCCGGGAAGCGTTTTTGTAGGGACCCGGCTTCCCCAGTGCCGCAGCTGCCTGCCCCCGTCAGCCCAGCCCGGCGGATGCTGCACGCCCGAGTCATCGCCAGGAATAAACCTCCGACAACAGCAGCCTGCCCGGCCTGAATCATCCCGCCGCTGCTGGGAACATGAGCCAGCCCATGACTCCTCTCGGATGCTCTATATAAGTCCAGGAAAACAACAGGCGCTCGCAAAGCTCACGGGCTGGATTTGATCAAAGTCGGGAACGACCTGGGAGGGATTTCAGCGAGGGAGCACCGCAGTTATGTCACAGGTACGGGGACATCTGTGCGCTGCCAGCCCTCGGAGCAGCGCCTGGCAGACCTGCTGCTGGTTTGGATGCTGCGCTTGGAAAAGCTTATTAGCGAGTCCCTCTCGTTAAGCAGTGAATTCAGCTTTTCTGCTCTGTGACTTGTGTGATTAAAAGATTTTAACAAGTACATTCTTATCGTGGGTTGCTTGGCGAAGAAGGAAAGCAGCTGCTCTCTACATGGTTAATTAATTTTCCTTTAAAATGTTCTGGTTTACCTTAAATGTTTTTATTTGTGTAGAATGGGAAAAATCCCTTCCCCTGCTCTGCATTGGGATGTTTCACAGGTGGAGGAATCTCTGACTTTCTGACACACTTTCTGAGACAGTGATTCTGAAATTCTGTTTTGCAAAGAGGTGGCTGTGCTGAAATGTGTGCATTAACATGCAGGAGAAAAGAGTGTGACTGAACATTCTAACAGTTAGGATAAGATATTTGAGACTGAAATTTTGTATAAAATGAGTACTTTTATATTCATTTTGTAACTAATGGTTTGTCTTTAATGCATGCCCCAATAACCAGTGTTTCAAAGTGCTCTTGAAATGAGCTCAGAAATGGTCAGGTTTCAGGTAAATGTTACATTTGCATCACAAGCTGCATGTGCCTGGCAGAGCTCTCCTCAGCACAGGAGTTTTACAGGACTGGTGTGATGGAGAGCAGGAGCACAGAGTAGAAGACCACAGTTCTTCAGCCACAGAGAGTAACTCGGTTCAGCTGATTTGCTTTACTCCAAAGAAAATGGGACTCAAAACCCAGTTGTATGTTTTGTAAAGTAGCACTTTCTGTCTTGTGACAGCAGTAGATAAAGCACAGGCTGCACGCCCGTGCCAGGAATGGCTCCTGACAACCCCTGCTCAGAAATTCTGGCAGCAGTTGGCAGTGGTGGGGCTGTGACAGTGGCAGCTGCTGGCCAGGGCTCAGCGTAACCTCTCTGCTCACCAGCTTTGCTCCTCAGCTAGGGCCGACTAATCCGCAGCAACTGTCCTGCTGGAAAATCCTCCGTGATCAGAGCGTGAGATGGTTTATTTTAAAATAACTGGGTGACATTCAAGGGCTCTGCTCAGCCTGGCTGTATCTTGTGCATCTCAAGAGCCACCTTTCCTTACCCTGTTCACAGAAATTCCCTTGTCCCAGTGGGAAGAAACCTCACAGTTACTGTCTGTTACCAATAATGGGTGAAGGACCTTTGCAAATTTCACATTTCTCTTAATAAAGCAAGGGGCTTTTTCATGTCCTGGGATGGTTGCCTGTGGAGCATGCTGTGGGCATGAGGGACTGTTCCCATCATGTGCCAGTTGTCATTCCAGAAAGACAGGTGACTCCCTGGCTGTGAGGATGTTCAGTCACCAGCTGAACAACCATACAAGGGGCTTTTTCCCTTCCTGTGATGGTTGCCTGTGGAGTGTTCCATGGTCTGTTCCATGGTCTTCAGGGACTGTTCCCATCATGTGCCAGTTGTCATTCCAGAAAGACAGGTGACTCCCTGGCTGTGGGGATGTTCAGTCACCAGCTGAACAACCATGCATGAGGTGTTGTGAATTTCGAAGGGTTTGCTGACACCCTTTCCCCTTGCTTGCTTTGGCTACTCACGAGTGTTTTCCCCAGAGATCTCGTAAATGTTTTTTTCCCACAACACATGCAAGTGGGATTGACAGTGAGCTATTCTGAGCGTTCCCAGGAATTTGCAGCAGGCAGAAAATGTGCTCCAGTGGAGCCAGCCATGCGGGCACTGTCTCTGCAAGCTCCCTGGGACTCACTGCTCCAGCCATCTGTGGGCCTTGAGGGATTTGTTTCCCTCCACAACTGCTTTTAGCCTCACAGACAGTGCCTGCAAGTGCCTGAGTGAGCTCCACCACTGCCAGAACCCAAATATCAGAAGCTCTGTGTATGTAGTGATGGTCAGAGAAGTTTCTTGTTGATCTTTCAGTGTGTAAATCTATTAGAGTTGGAGCGTGGGGTTCTTCTGTTCCTCTTAATCATATCCCTGTGCTCCTGAATCTTGCCATGAGGGCTGCATAGTGGGACATTGAAAATCTGTCCATGAAATAATAAGCTGATGGAGGAATGCTTACAGTGTTGGCTCCTGTAGAGTGAGGTTGTGTTTGGTTGTGCAGTCCTAATTTAAAGATAGGGGTAGGCTGATGGAGCAATGTTATCCATGTTTCCTTGTGGAATAAACTGTGAACAGATTAGTACTTGGCTGTTGCAGTGCAATACCTGATGAGGCATCTGTTTCTGTATCAGGTTTCCTTCTCCTTCTTTGGGGTCCAAGTCCAGTGCTTCAGATGTGTTAAGCAGAGAGCCTTGTTGAGTGCTCTAATACTTTTGTTACTTAAATTTAAGATTATTAACTATGAGTCTAGTGTTTATTCAAACTTAATTCCAAATCTGGAATCTCTCTGACTGGTTTCCCAAAGAAGTAGTAAGCAGACTGAGGCACAAGCCCAATTTAGTAATAAAGTGATTTTTCCCTTTCCAAATATTGGACAGGTTCATGAATTACCCATCAGTACTTGCAGAATAAGCAGGCAGGGCTGGACAGAGAAAATCTAATAAATGTACTTTGTTTTTAATTAAGTACTTTTAATTAAAAGTCCATTGCTTTTTCAAAGGCTGTACAACAAAAAGATAGTTTCAGAGCAGTAAGAATAGTAGCAGATTTTGGGAAGGGCAGTGAAATTGTAATTATGGGAAGTAACTGAGTATGTAATTTCAGTACTGAAATAGGTGAAATATTGTGTTGGCAACTCTGTATGTTGTAGCTTTGTTCCCTGTGCTTTGAACACAAAATACTGATGTGTGGATCTGTTTCTTAGCCAGCCCCTGTGAAAAAGAAGCGTCCTCCAGTGAAGGAAGAAGACCTCAAAGGAGCCAGAGGAAACCTTGCCAAAAACCAAGAAATTAAATCCAAAACCTACCAAGTGATGAGGCAGTGTGGTAAGTCTCCTTGATTGGAAGCAATTAAGCAGAGTAAAACATTGACTTAATTGCCCTTTTCAAGTGAAAGGGTCACCTCTGGAACATCAGGCTGCTGTTCATCTGATGGACAAGTGAAGTATTTATCAAATGTGTATATATGTATTTCAGCAGAACTAGTTTTAATCCCTGAATTTGGATGGCATTTCACTGATTGTCTCTCCTGGTTTTCTTTTCTAAGAACAAATGGGCTCCGCAGCACCTTCCGTATTCAGCGGGGCTCGGACAGGGGGTGAAACAGTCTTTGAGAAACCAAAGGATGAGCCAGCCAAGAGCGTCTTTGGCTGACAGTGGAGCTGGACGTGACTCACCAAAATGATTGTTGTAACATTTTTCAAAATTTCTGTTCCTTGCACTAAAATCACTGTCGACTCAAGTAGCTAATTTCCACCGTAAGTCCTTAAGTAGGGAATATACTCATGTCAAAGAGTAAAACTTCCATGTTCATTTTTATTACATGCTTTCTTTCTATGTATTGGACAATGTTTGCTATAATTGTTTAATAAAAAACGGTTGTTGGACTCAACTTGGCACGCTGTGGTGACTCATTTCACTTCAGATTAATTCCGTGGGCACTTCGGCACTACAGGCGGATGATTTCGTCTGTCAAATGCAAGGAAGAAGCACCCTGATGACACAGTGTCCGTGTAATTTGTTCACACCATGCCCTCACCAGGAGGGAGCTGAGGAGGAGCCGATCAAAGGGGCAGCACAGAAATCTGGAGGCTTCACCCAGATTTGTGTTGCCTACAGCGGCGCCTTGGCGGGGGCCAAGGGTGGCGGCATGGCACAGGGTGGTGGCTCTCCCCTCACAGCTCTTCCCTCACAGTTCCCCTCAGGTTTGCTGCTCATAGCTCTCCCCCCACGGCTTCCACCTTACAGCTTGCCCCTCACAGTTCCTGTTCATGGCTCTCCCTCACAGTTCCTCTCAGGTTTGCCGCTCACAGCTCTCCCCTCACAGCTTCCACCTTACGGCTCACCCCTCACAGTTCCCCTTACGGTTTCCCGCTCATGGCTTTCCCCTCACAGTTCTCCCTCACATCTCTCCCCTCACACCCTTCCGGGCAGCCATGCCATGATTTCCTTTCATGCAGCTCAGCTGAGGGCAGAGGCCCAGCTCTCAGAGTGCCCCTGCACCAAGGAAGGGATTTCAGCTCATTCCCCAGTGGCTTTTGCCTCCTGTCCCACTGGATCGAGTGAGAAGTGGGGTGCCAGACCCAGCCGCCATGTCCTGCCTTACCATGGGGATGAGAACCCAGCGAGTGTCTCTGTACAACACCTGCACAATCTAAGGGGGAGATAATTTTTTTCAATACTGTTTGTTTCTTAATTTGCTGCATTAAACACCAAATCTGTTTTCTCCCAAACCCCAGAATGTTTTCCCTCAGCTGGATATTTGTGCTAAAACACAGAGGAACCTCTCTGGGCACCTGCCATGCTTCCCACACACCCTGAGTCTCTGCAGCATGTCTGGGGATGGTAAGTCAGATGCCACCTTTGTTAAACAAACTACTTTTATTTTACACAGACTAGACATGATTAAGAGGTAAAAGTGATGCTGAAGTTCTCTGTGCACCATGAAATGTATCATATTTAACTTTTGTGTCCCAAACACTTGACAGATAAAATGTGACAATGCCCGCACAGACACCAGAGAGGCTGTGGAGCGGAGCTCACTTAAGGCAACAGAAAATCCTTTGGCTTTAAGGGGAAAGCTTCTTTAAAGATACTGCTGGTCCATTGCCTTGCCCTGCTTTTTTCACTTTAAAAGATTATTATTTGCAGCCCAGGCCCCACCTGGGCTTCTGAATTGTGCCCTCGCTTTAGTCTGCACAATTTCTCCATGGAGCACAGGCTCCTCACAGGTACATTGGCAGAGCCTTTTCCCAAGAAAGATCCTTCCAGAGCATTAAAAAAGTCATGGTGGGAAAAATTCCTACCCTGATAGAACTGGAGCTGCCTTTGCATTGGGTTTAACAAACCCTCCTTAATTAACCTCTGTTGAGAAGGTGGAAGGAGGTTATTCAATAGTTATAGAAATGATGGTGAGGGATGAGTGGGGCAAAATGTCACTTTCCTTATTGCAGGGCAAGGGCCTGACCTGCTGGTTTGCAGTGGGGTAGCAGGACGAGGGGTGCTGTATTTCAGACCCCACTTTGGATCTGTTGGTGCTGATTTAACAAAGCACAGAAAGCTCTGTGTCCCACATGGATTCTACAGGGAAGCCAAGTAAGGTATCTGCCAGAGAAGTGGGATTTGGCAAACAGCTCTATTTCCAGGATGTCGTCGTGTTCATTTACTTGTGCTGCTTCCAAGTGTGACAATAAGGACTAGACATCTTTTTTGGTCTTCCTGTATTTTAATGTAGACCTCACCTAAAAAGTGTGAGGGGCAGAGCTGACACTGCAGCCTAAATCTGTGCAGCAAAAGCAGCTCTTTAACATCTGTGTGATTTTACACATGGGCATTAGAAAACTGATGACAGATCCACTTAATTAAAGCTTTGGCTCTTGCAGCTCTTAGGCCACCAAGTGTCTAATCCTGTGTATTTTAAAGGATTAAAGTATTACACAAATTGTACAAGTTAATCGAATATATTGCAGTTTAATTTTTTGCCTTTTAAAATATATATATTTACATGTTCTGCTATAAAGGATATGGTATTTCCAAGTAGTATAAACAGTCTGCCTGAGAGGAGCAAAGTTTATTTTTTTTTTAAGAATTACTTAAAGCACAAGGCTTGTAAGACCAGGCTGCGGTTAGCACATTCTTTGTAGTGAACTTGTAGATGTCTGGTAAGTAATAAATTATTGAGCTCTGCTTTAGTGTCTCCTTGCAACTCCAAGGCCACTAGAAGCTTGTTCTCCACATAGAAACTTTGTAAAACAGGCATGAAGAAAACACAGATGCTTATATTTCCACAGGATCATTGTGTTAATTTATGACAATGAATGGCATTACCTACCAAGGATTGTGGCCAGCTGGGCAGGGAGGCACGAAGGCTGAGAAAGCCATCAGCTGTAATATCTCATGTGAATGCTGCCTGTCCTGGCAATCTCCAAATCTCTGAAGTGCTTGTGATAATGTTAAGGATGTGCCCTTTCAAATCATTACTGTGGAATATGGTAGAGAATTCCTACAGCTTGTTGCACAGACCAAATCATCTGCCCGAGGGATTTCATGTGACACAGTGAAATCTAATTTTAAAAAAATATAAATTTTTAATTTTATGTTATGAAACATTAAGTCTAATGTTTAAGAGCAAAGATCTATTGGAAAAATAAGCATTAACCAAGTCCAAGTTTTACCTGTGTTTAATGGGTAAATATTACATTTCTGTGTCTCTTCAAAGTCTACATGATATCCCCAAGTACAGGTTACTCATTAACTGATTAAGATAAATAGAGATTTCATTTGAAAATTTGTTTTTTCCAAAATGGAGCAGAGAACACTGCTTGCATTGCTGGTCTTTTCCTCACTCATAGTATTAGCAGAAACTAATGATCAGAAGGTATTTGCTCTATTTTTATTATCAATATCTCATTTGCTGACGTGGTGATATCGTGGTAAGTGGCCAGGTAGTGCAGGTAACTCCTCTGGTAACCACCTCCCAGGGAGACTTGGGTGGATTATGTTGAGATTTTAGAGCTTTGGGTCTTTTTAAGGTATTTTTGGTTCTTTATTTGGGCTGTTATAGTACAAATGTAACAGGAGGCACTTGCAAATATATTTGATGATTCTCTTCCTTCGGAATGTAAGATATCAAATTTGAGAGATCAGTAACTCTGCTTTGGCTATCAGATGAGGTTTGGATCTTGACAAAGGACCAAACAAGCACTGTGCAGTGCCAGGAGATTTCTGACGAGTGTTTAATAGTAAATATGGGATGGAAAAGAGGGAAGGAGAAAGTTATTTGCACTGTCTGGAGGAGCAAATTCTGTTTTGTACCATTGCAGTGGTGACTGGTGGCATTGTAAAAACATCAATACTGGAAAGGAAGAGGGAAGTTTAAGTCAGAAGATTTCTCTGTCCATTGTGCCTATTCAGAAAAGAGTGAAGTGGAACTGAAATGCAGGCAGGTGTTGGGGGGCAGAGCCAGGCCTGGTGGCTGATCCAGGGGCAGCCAAGATCTCTGCAGGAAGCCATGGATGGGGTGTATGGGCCCACAGTGCCTTTGCCTGTGGGTACATGCCTGGGGCTGGTCCTCTCTGCTTCTTTTACCTCTCTGCACAGCAAAGCTCCTCCCCATGCTGCATCCCACTGACCCCTGGTTTGTGCTGGCCACAGCCTAAAATGCTGCTGGGGCTGGGCGAGTGCAGCAGATGCAGGTCCTGCTCCCTGCAGCATCCCTCGGGCATGTGGCAGTGGAGTGGCTTCTGCACCAGGTAAATTTTGCACAGGACAATCTCCTCCTGTGTTGAAAGGATCCTCAGTGGGCAGCAATGGCCACCACGTGCCTGCACTTCCCCAGTGAGTCACAGCTTGGGGCTTGGTGTTCCTTATGGCAAAACCTCGCTCTGAATGTGCCATGGGCAGGTTTGAGTATGGCAGGGCAGCCAAGTTTTGAATTTCAGACAGTGTCCTAATGGAGAAGCCACTGGATGCTATTAATTGGCAAGCAAAGTACAGGAGATTAATTATCAAAACACCTAAAGATCGATTACCCATTCAAAAGACTTGGAGGCTGAAAAAGTAAAAATAAAAGTGCAATGATATTCTCTATTGTTGAGCTTTTGTATTTTAATCAGCTACTGGACTGTTGTGAGGTTGGTGATGCTCAGATCAGCCTTTCTTAGTTCTGCTGCTGGAACATAGGTAGGTCTTTTAGAGAGACATCCCAAATGCAAAAGGAGGTGCCCATGTCGGCAGGTGCTCCAGGGAACTCTAGAATGATGCCCTCCTCCTTGGACCATCAGGAGGCCATTAGAGAAGAACCAGACCAGGAGAAACATGAGTGCTCAAAGAGCATCTCTGCTTGTGTAACCAGTGAGGGTTGGGAGGGCCATGTGAGGTTTCAAGCCTGCTAAACATCCTGTGGGACGCAAGACACCAAACTGGAAAACAGGAAGCAAAGTCAACAGCTGGGAGAGCAAATAAACAGTTGCACAAAAAACAGGGACCTTCCCTGGGTCAGGCTTAAAGAGGCTTCTGCTCTTCCTGAGGAAAATCTTGGGCAATGCACTGGGATGATGCAGCAGCAGCTTCACCCCAAGGAGAGAAAAAGGTTCAACAGAAGCTTCTGTGGAACAGCAAAATGCAGATGTAGCTGCAGGTTTTGCACGGGACAGTGGCTGTGGCTGCAGAGAAGGGAATAAGCAGACTGGTTCAGAGCAACCCTCTCCCCAGTTCCAGCCAGGCTTTCTAACAGGTCATTTCTTCATCAGACTTTTCCAACAGCATCATCCAGGTAAGGATGGTCTGGGAGCAAAACCTGTGTGATTCTGTCTCAGTCTGTTTATTTTTTTTCCAGCCTGCTGTTGAAATATACAGCCTCCATGTGGACAGCAAGGTCACATCACGATTTGC